TGCACCAGCAGTGGCAGAACACGGGAGCACTTCTTCACAGAGTTAGGGGATGCCCCAAAACACCACCGAGGGGTGCACACACCCAGGGAGGCTTTCATAGCATAAATCCAGCCCTGTGCTTGAATAAAGGTGCAGAAGATTGTTTTGGTGAAGCCTGTTCCTGCAGCCACATCATTTGACGTCACACCTTAGCACTGAGTGCAGATGGGACCTGGAGACGTCCGACTTAGCATCAATCACCTTTCCAGGGAGGAGGAAGCCTCGGTCCTGCTTCCCCTGCCTGGAGCTCTGTGAGCTGGTTCAGGACTCCCCCCTCCCCAGCTAACACAATAGGAACAATGGAAGCCAGGAAATCCAGGCTCTAAAATAAGCTGTGTAGCATAGGAAGGAAGCAGCCCAGCCACCCCAGGCTTCCATGCTAGTCCTCACCCCACCACGTCCCTCATCCTCAGCCTGGCTCATCATCCAGGCTGGTGGCACTGAGTTTCTGGTCTGCTTTCCTCAGCCTCTGGGGTGGGCCAGGTCTCCCAGGACCCAGCGACCAGGCTGCGGCCTCCTGAGTGCCCCCTGCAGGTTCCCCGTGTTCCTCCCTGTGGCTAGCCCTGCCCCTGCCCCCATGCCTGGTCCCAGAAGGCTACTCGCAGCCTGTGACTCACCTCCTGTGCGCCAGCCTGCACTTGATCACAGCTTTCTAATGGATAGTGTTTTTAAAGGTAGAGGTTTAATTTTAGTGTTGTCTTTCATAAGTGGTGTTCTGGTGACTTTGTGTTGAAAAAGTGAGGTTCTCTTGAAAACTAAACATCAAATATTTTTTTAGAAATTTGTGAAAACCAGGTTTTACAGCCCAGTGCAGTGGGCTTAAGACAGCACTTGCCTGTGCCTTGGGCCTGGCTGAGGACCTATCCTGCTTCTGGCCAGGCTTGTGTCAGCTTCCGTCGTTGAGTCTCGAGGGTTCCCAAGCGTCCTGAGCTCCTCTTGGACCCAGAACGCAGGGTGTGGCCTGAAATTGCCTTTCAGATCAGAATATCTGAAAGCTGTGATGAGCTCCCTAAGATGCTTTTGACTGACAGATTTGGGGTGTTGGCTCCAGCCTGCTGGTCTGGTGGTGAGCGCACATGCGTGTGTGTATACACATGTGTGCACCCTGCTCTGGGCTGTGCCCACACCACTTCCTTCCACCTCTAGCAGCAGTGCTGGTAGCTCTGAGTTCAGAGGGCCATGCCTCCTGTCTTCCTGCCCTGCGGTGGGCTAGCATGGAGACAGTGAGATAAGCCTCACTCCTGGGCCTGTCTGGTGATGTAGACATGTGTCATGTAGTCACACGAACCGGCCCTGCCCATGCACTATACCTCTGCTGACCACTGAAGAGTCTTCCTCAGCACCTCTGCTTTGGTCCTGGCTACCCGTCCTCCTGAAGGACTCTTCAATTCCCGATTACCTGTGTCTGTCAAGGTCAGTGCCCAAGGTCCTATCTCTGTTCTGCCCGGTGTCTTGGCAGGACTGGTGACCTTTGTCCCATCCTGTACCAGTGAGAGGGGAATGATCTCGGGATATGGTTCCTGTCTGTGGTACCCTTCACCACTGTGAAAGTGTCAGGATCTCCTTCCAAGCAGGGGTGTGAGAGCATGCATGGAATGCATGGAACCCACACATCCGTGTCCCTGGGTACTGGGGATGTGCACATTGGCTTTGCAGACCACTAGAGAAGACACTGCCACCTATGGGGGTCCAAGGAGGAGGAGGAAGAGGAAGTCATGGATGGGTTATGGCCAGACTCAGCTGATGCTAGGGGCAATGTTTTGTATTTGTTTAGTGTTACCTCCCTTTGCTTTCATCTCTACTAAAAAATTAGTTAAGATCATTTTTAATTTGTAGGCAATAATTATGCATGTAGTTTAGGCATTTTCTTGGAACCACTTCCTGTAGTGGGCCCACTCAGCTGGCACCCTGCAGGAGAAGGGTTTTTCTGGGGCTGTGATAAGAAGAAGTGGTCTTAAGCTATCTTGGATGGCCTTGGGTGATTTTGGGGGGCCTTGGGTTGTCTTGGTGGTCTTGGATGGCTCTGTGATTTTCTCCAACGCTTTTGGGTGATTTTGAATGATGATAGATGGCATTGGTGGACTTGGGTGGCCTTCGATGGTCTTGGGTGGTATTAAGAGTTACCTCGGGGAGTCTTGAATAGTTTGGGTAGTGTCAAGTAGCTTTGGGCAACCTTGGGGGGCTTTGTATAGCCTTGAGTGACCTCTGGTGACCTTGCATGGCCTTTCATGGTCTTGGTTGCTTTGGATAGCTTTGAGCAGATTTAGAGGGCTATGGGTGGCTTTGTTTGTGAGTTGGCTGAGGAAGTTATGTGTGGCAGTGCTTAGTTTGGTTTGAAGGGACATACTTGGATGGTTCTGTTCACTCCTGTGAAGTTAGGTGGAGTCTGATGTTGTGAGTTCGGATTCTGAAGTTGGCTCATTCAGTGTGGACTTATAAGGAAGCTGAGCTTGAGAAAGGGGGCTGTTGTCCACTGTACACGTTTCACTTAGATTCCAGGAAAGAAGGCAGAGGGGGTCCGGGCTGCGTCAGGCTCGGCTATAGCTCAGAGATAAAAGGAATTGGGAGTGGAACATGGAGAACTCAGGACTCTGGGTTGTAGATGAAGCCAGTGCTGTGTTTGCTGCATTGACCTCTGACAGTCAAATGCAGAGCCAGGGAGCCCTGAGCAAGGGATGTGTCAGAAATGGCAGGGGCATTTCAGGGGCTGGGGCTTTGCTGGCCATTCCTGGGAGCCCACAGTGCCACAGAGCTGCTTGCTGCCTCCTTCCAGCCTCCTGCAGGTCTCTCCTGGGAAGCCAGTGACATATGCTCTGTGCTGCGGTCTTGAGGTGACTGGTGACTGGCTTGGGGTGAGGTTTTGAGGCAGAAGCAGAAGGTCACCTTCTCTGGGGGAAGTGGTCTTGGTGAAGCCCAGGTTCTGAACCCATCACTGCTAGGCTCGAGTGGGGCGAGGTGGAGGGTCTTGGCTTCCTTTCTCCAGGATCTTGGGTTGCATTCTGGAAGTGCTTTGAAGTCTGACTGTTTCAATGTTTGGAGGAGCCTGGGTTTCACTGTGGCCTTTCGGGGAAAGAGCTGGAAGCCTGTGTTCTGCTTCCTTGCACTGCCTCTGACTCGCCCCATCTGCTCCCTCTCAGCTGCAGAGGTTCTCAGATCTCAATTAATTGATTATATTTGAAGTGAGTCAGCCTGAACAAGCTGGCTCTCGGGAAATATCAAGTTATTGTGAGCGTTGCAGAGATGAAAGCCCAACATTGTGTTGTCTTTATGCTGTCTATTAAATGCACTTCGCACAGATCTCTCTGCCCCTCGCATCTTCAGGGACGTGGCCCATGCTGCCACCTAGGTTTCTGTGCTTTTCCTGCACAAGCACACAAGTGTGTACTTGTGTAAAAGTTCAGTTTATAAATTAGGCACAGTGAGAGATTAGCAACAACTAATAGACTGAGAACAACTAGTAGAGCAGAGCAGTAATACCAGCCCACTGCAAGGACAGTCACGTGCCCATGGTCACTTTTTCCTGTCAGTTCTGATGGCATCGTCTTCACGCTTCTCCAGATGATACAGGGAACACGGTGCCTGTGTGATGGGAAGCACTGAGGGGAGGGTCATAGTGTGGGCATGCAGTGCTGGCTGGCATGTGGTCAGTGGAGAACAGCACAGTCTGCTGATAGCTGGGGTGGCCTCTGGGTGCCCAGAGATGGTGGCATGTCCAGGGCGGATGTATGGACAAAAGGACAGCTCCTCTACAGGCAGGATGGGGTCAGACAACTCACGGTGTCTTCCTCTTGCCCACCATGGAACCCAGATCAAAATTTGTTTATTTTTGGACCTTTTTACTGATTTTACTGCGCTGTGGTTGACCTGGGCTAGCCAAGGCCATGGGAAGGGAAGCTGTGGAAAAGGGGAACTGAAGTGGAAGTAGATTTCTAGGATGTGGGTGATTCAGGGGCTGGCTTTCTTTATGAAAACACATTGGGGATGGGGGACCAGGCTATGGGATGGGGCGCCCCTGCCTACACAAGGGCCAGGAGTCAGCCCTTCTTGGCCCGGGACTCCGGAATCATTCAGGGTTTTCTCTTTATTGTCTGCCTGTGTCTGGGAATCTTGGCGGAGTCAGCTCTGTGCTTTTCTGCCTGTGCAGTTGGCAGTCCTGTTGCCTCGTTCTGGGAAGCAACAGTCAAGGGCTGTGCCCAGTATGGGGGACTCTTCTGGAAGACGTTGTTCACGGTTCCCAGCTTGCTGAACTTCTCAGATCTCGAGTGCTAGCAGAGGGTTTAAAGCTCTCGAAGCTCTCTGCTTGCTCTGTTTCTTTTCTGTGTGGTGTGAGTTCCCTTCTTTCCTTTTATTGTGATTGTGGCCTGGAGCAGGCTTATGAATTCCATGGCAGGTTTTATGAAGGGCCCACTCTGTGCCTAGCTGCATTGCTTGCTGAGTTTAAAGACCTTTACAGTCATTTGCGGAACCCTGTGTCCAGTGTGAGTTGAGGTGTGTCCCATCACTGTGTCCTCTGCGAGGTGCCTGGTGTGCCCTGGGGAATCTTGGGGTCGGGGGAGCCTGGCAGGTGGCTCTCTGCTCTGTGCATCCAACATTGCTCAGAACTGGCCCCACCAGGTAGACACACAGAGCCAGCTTGGGGGCTCTGACACTCTGTGTCTCATCATGAGGAATGTGGGGGTTTGTCAAAAGGACCAGTTAACAAAAGATGAGTTTTCCCAGCAACTCTTAACAAATTTGGGCCCACACTTCACTTTTCCATACTGCCCTTGGAGACATCGGTGGCTTGCTGGGGGCCGTCCTGTGGCAGTGCACAGGAAAGCACGTGTGTGGCTGAAGGTAAAGTAGGTGCATAGTTTATGGGAGTGCTGGAGTAACAGCATATGACTCAGACGTGGGGTTTCCTTATTTGAAATTCTAATAAAAAAGACATTTGGGAGTGTAAACATCTGCCTCTCTTTCAGGACTTGGAAACCTCAGTCATTCAAGCCTGCCCCAGATGGAAGTTCGTTCTCTATGAGCCAAGCCTCTTGCATGAAGAGGCTGGAAGGTAGGGGAGGTGTAGTGGGGTGGGAACTGGCAAGACACATTTGGGGCTGCCCTTGCAGGGACCCAGGCAGGAACCAGGGCACGGAACATGGAGGCCCCACTCTGAGAATCATTGCAAAGGGCCCCTAACATGCTCACGTCCCGGCTGGGTGAAGCACAAGAGCCACAGAAATGTAAAGTTGTGAAAAAGGAGGAGGAGCACTGTCACAGTGGCAGCGAACCCCAGAGCCTGAAGCCAGTCACACAGGGGCCCTGAGGGGGCACTGTGGCCCTGCACTGCCTGGCACTGTATCTGCTGGCTGCCACATTAGAAGCTCAGCCCCTGAAGCAGGGTAGAAATAACATAGATAATAAAAGGGTCCCCCAAGGTAGCAGAAGTTCAAAATTAATATGCAAACACCAGTAATAATTTTCATACACCAAAAAAAAAAAACAAACCCATTAAGAGGACATTACAGATGAAAGAAGCCCATTAAGAATAGCAGCAGTAGAGACAGAGTACTTGGGGATGCACATAGTAAGATCTGCTTAAGCCCTAAATGGGAGAAGTACTAGAGGAGACCCAGGAGTGGCCTCGGCTTGGTCTGCATGTCTCCACGGCATTCACACGTCCCTGCTAAGTTTGTGTAGAAATGTAACGCGACGCTGGGAAAGCATGAAAGCAACAAGAGCCAGTTGTTTTAGTGTGCTGGTCATATTGATCCTAAAACTGAAATAGAAAACCAAACAAGTGTGAATACAGAGAAAACTTGGAAAGGAAAGTGCTTTGGAGAGGGGAGCAGCCCTCCTAGATGTCATGATACAGCATGGGCCCTGTGGAAAATGGTACCATGTGACAGTGTCAGGTCAGCGAGGGCAGTGAAGATTGTGTCGGTAAACCCTGGCATACACCAGGGCAAGCCAGCCTAATAGCACTCTTTGGAAGTTTGGGATCACTTGGAACCTAAGCAAAAATCTGGAGTGTAATGACGGTGACATCAGTTTCCTGGGGTCATATGTAATACATGCTGCTGGCTCGTCAGCACTGTAGATTTAGACCTTGCACCAGTACCAGAACAAGCGCTGGGTAGAATGGTGCATGGAAGAAAGTGCAACTGTGCTAGTGTTAGAACTGTGGTGCAGAAGAAAAACTTTAAAAAAAATATAACTCAGAGTCCGGGATCAGCAATAGAGGAGTGAATTTGACTGCATTTAAAAATGCTCCAGGAAAACTTTTCCTTTCCTCCATCCAGCTTTGGCCTCGTCTGTAGACCTGAGCTTGCTAACCTGAGCAGTTTCTCTGGTTACCAGTGTGTGGTGCTCTGCTGGTCATGGATCTCATAACTAGCCTGTCAGGAAGGCGTATGAGACTAGCACAGGTGGAACCAAAGAAGGGAGCACTGGTCCAGCTGCTCTGGCCGGGGTCTGCAGAGCTTGATGGGGGGATGCCGCCCAAGTCCTGCTCTGTTTGCAGGTGCATGCCCGGAAGCAGAGGTAACAGCTGGGGAGCAGGCCAGGCCTGGTGTGTGAGTGCTGGTGCACAGGCTGCATTGCTCCCTCTGCTGTATCCCCTGTGCACCTATGCACCCTTGTATCTGGGGACACTGCTAGTTTTTCATGGATTCTTGCTTATTGTGTCATATACAGCTTCCTATTTTGTAAGCTGCTTTTCTGTTACCTGAATTTTTAACGGATCTGTGGTGTTCCCCTCTATGTATCCACTGGAGGTAGCCTTTGTACACATTGGTACTGCCCTGATGCTGGCTCAGGAGAGACGGTGCAACCCCCAGTGTCTCCAGAATGAGTGGCGTTGCCCCGCGATGCACCTTGCTCCCTTTTGGCTCCCTGTGAGCCGTATTTGAGGAGCCTCTCCATGCGCTGTGCTTGTGGCTAGTGGAGGCCACTTTACACTGGCTCACAGCAGCAGCAACATTGGTGTTTACTGCCGTCTTTGCCTTCATCATCCTGCAGCAGGCGGCTCTGTGTCCACGCTGTTTGTCCACTGTGACTGCAGCTGCATGGGGAGGGAACCGCCTCTCCTGTGTTGCTGACGTCTTGTGGAAAGCTGGAAGTTGCTGACCGGCCATTCCTGGGGTGAGCGTGTGGTGTCTATGACCTTGCTCTAAAAATGCAGACCTCATTTGTCTTTAGCTGTCGCCTTCTGCTCCATGAGCTTGTACGGGACAAAAGAGGCTTGGAATAGTTGCTTTGTGCTGCTTCCCCTTACTCCATGCGTGTCCCTGCTGAGGAGGGCGTGTGGGGTCCTCTCTCCCTTACGCTGCTCCTTCCCGCTGAGCTGGTGAGGGCCCCGGGGGCGGTGTGGAGCTGGGGTGTGCACTGAACCCAGGATGGTCCTCTGTTCCAGGCTGTGATTGCTGTTGCCTTGTTTTCTGCCAGCTTGGACACAGCTGCCTCGCTGCCAAGGGGTCTCTGTTTGCAGGCCTGGTGCGAGAGGACCAGTTGGTGACAGTGGCTGGACCAGCAGGGGTTGCTTTGTCGCCTCTTGTTATTTCCTTTTGCCTTTGCAGGAGTGGAACAGGGTGACTGCTGCTGCCAGGCGTCTTTCACTCCTGGGAGAGGAGACTCCTCGAAGTGGCTGTTGGGGGAACAGTGCTGATCATAGGTGCTATCATCCCTTTGGAGGTTCTGGTGCTTGGAGCGCCGGGTATTCTGTGCGTGTCTCGTTGCTGTCAAGTTCCTTTTACTTGTCTACAGCACTGTCACCTGTATTTTTTTTTTAAATTTTTTTTTGTCTTTTCGTTTTTTATCGGTACCAGGGATCGAACTCATGACTGCCTGCTTGCAAGGCAGGCGCTTATGCCGCTGAGCTAAATCCCCAGCCCCTGTGTCACCTGTATTTGAAAGAGTCATAAACTCTATATGTAGCCGTAAAATCACATCCTGGACAGCATGGTGCGGACCAGGCTCTGTGCTGCCCCCTGAAAGCTCTGGGTGCCTCTGCCTACCCTGCTTCAGAGGTCCCCGTTGCCCAGGGTCCTGGGACTCCTCCTCTGCCCCCATCAGAGTAGCTTAGCCCTACCCCACACTCCTCTAGGACCCTGCCTGCCTCTTAAGTTCTTTGATCTTTGTCAGCCTTGGCTGGAATCAGCCATGTGTGAGCTCTGGGGTAGGAAGAGCAGGCGAGGAACTGCTTGGGCTCACTGTGTCTTCCAAAGCGCCGGCCAGGGCTATTTTGCCCTTTGCCTGGACTCCCGACCCTTTAGAAAAAGTGCCCTGCATTTCTGAGTTTCTTTCACAAGATCTTTTCTTATGTCTCACTCTGGGACAACTTGCTGGTTGCTCGTGGCCGTGTTGGTGTGGGGAAAAGTAGCTGCCTGACAGCTCTCAGTTTTGGGTACATCAGCCTCATGCAGTCAGACTGCAGATGCAGCAGAGGTCCCCTGAGACCTCACATCTCCTGGAGCCATGGTGGCATGTGTGACTGGCCTGTGTGCATGTGCAGGGTGAGCCCTTGCTGTAGTCTCAGGCGGGGCACAGTGGGTGCCTGGCTGTGACGCAGAGCTGGGGCCGGCACACATGTTTGCAAAAGTGTATTTTGCATTGTGGTTTTGGAGCACTTCCCTCCCTTTTGGGAAGGCAGAGTCCTGTGGAGATAGGGTACACTTAGTGGTCCCAGCCTGGTCCCCTATGCTCTGCAGTGTCTCTTCAGCTTGATTGGTTTCATGCAGTTTTTACCATATTGGCCCGAGGAGCAGCGGGCTGCGTTCTGTGTGTGTACCGTGCAGCTTGGCAGTGGTGCGTGGCTGAGGACAGCGAGGAGCTCACCAATCCATGGGTGAGCAATGGGGTTAGCATGAAGCCTTGCACCTGCGCTGTGGGCACCAGGGCCTGCTCTGCCGGAGAGCTCTCCTGACCCGTTGACGCTGCAGCAATCCCAGCCATTCCAAGACACGCGCTGTAAGCAAAGTCAGAGACTCTGGTTCCCAGGGTGCACTGTGTACCACCTGCATTGCTTCCAGCTCCCCCTCCAGTCAGCGTTGTCATTTGTGCTCAGGTGTGCAGTTAACAAACACAGGCTCCAGCTCTTAGTTATTTGTGTTGTATTTTTAGGGTTGTGTGAATGAGGTTAAAATATTTTTAGTCTCTTTTTCATCTATCATTAATCTTTCTGGCTTTTCCTACGAGTTTAATCTAAAAATTTTCCTACAAGGAAAGCTACATTTATACCACTATGATGATGTAAATATACTTTACCATGAATCCAAGTATGCAGAATGCAGTTCTGGACTACGAAGCCCTCCAGGCTGAGGGGAATGTTCACAGGGAAACTCAGTGTCTGCTCAGGTTTCCACACTGCTTCTGGCTGCGTCTGTTGCCATGGTTTCCTGGTCTCACGACATGTTTCTGGGCTCTATTTCTATTAAGCTGAGCACCTCCTGGATCAGTTCCTCCAAGCCGTGGCCTGCAGGCCACTGGGGTCTGCACAGTGTTCAGACAGGTAATGCCCTCTCCTACACTTGATCCATGCCGGCCAGGTCTGGAATTCTAGGTTCCTTTCATTTTCCCTTTAACTGGGAGAATCTGCTGTTCCTCCCAGAGTTGGTGCTGCAGATGAGAAGGGGGTATCAGCTTGATCCTTGTGTGTGGGTGAGCTGCTCCTCCCCCAGAAACCCCTGCTGTCCTCTGGTGCTGACGTTGGGTTTCTCCTTGGTCCGTGCCTGGACCTGCATCCTGTCTAGACCCAGATGCCCATTTGGACAGCATCCCTGGCCTGTGGCCGGCACCTTCCTGTGAGAATGCCTTCTCCTAAGCAGTCTGGTCACCCTGGTCCCATCTGGTCCAAGTTTTCCAGCTTGTGGGCTGACCCTTTTGTGACTTCCAGCACTGGTATGGTTCACTGATTGCTACAGACGTCTGGTCACTACCTTTGTCACTACCTGGAATCAGAGCCTCTGGGTGGGTCCTGGAGAATGAGGGCTCCAGACCTTGAAGCCCTTGCACGGTGGTCGTGCACTTTCTATGGAAACATCACCCAACACCCCACAGGATGGGGGAGACACG